CTCGCATCACTGCTCCACCCAGCTGATGACATGTCAGGGCGACAGGGGGGACAGTTCTAACTTGCCTTTTGTAGGGCACTTAGGCCCAGGTGATGTGAAAGCTGCTCCGTGACAGATGCCACTTGTCTGGGGCAGAGAGTCCCCCATGGGCCTGATTGCAGTTATGGGTGCTGAACTCCTGATGCTCTGTCCCGGTGATTTCCCACGTGGTGTTACGTGTGTCTCCATGAGCTGGTCCCTTTCTGCTCTGCCCACACGCCTCATCTGTCTAGGTGCCTCCTTCTTCAAATTTCTGCTCATTTCATGGCTATGCCAGCTGCTCTCTAAACAGGAAGGTGGTAATCAGACCCCAGGGCTTGGGGCTCCTACGATGGTTTCCTCCCCTTTGACTTGTCCCTTTGCCAGGCCATGTAATAATCCTGCGTGGACTGTTGTGAACATCGTTAGGAGTGAATTTTGTGCAGCACTCATCATGCTTTTCTGCCATCCACTTGGATTAATACTCTCATTGGCAAAAAAAAAAAGAACCTTTTACATGGGCCAGCATGAGTCTCCTGTTCCTCAGTGAGCTCCTCCAAGCACAAAGTTATTGCTCTGCAATTAATTGCTGTAGGATTTTAGTAGAACATCTGGGCACATATGTGGGAAATGTTTTCCAGCTATTGCAGAAGCTCGAATGGTTGCGCTGGCATCCTGGTGGCTGCAGGTAAAGTTCATTAGAGGGTGAAGGGGGAGAACCTGCGCTGCTCTGAGTGCTCCTGTAGTAGTGAAGCTGTGTTCACACGGCAGTGGGTGCTGCTTTAGCTCTAGCAGTTACAAACCAGCTGCTCTCAGGCAGGTAAAACGGTGGTTGTCAGCTTTGGTGTGAGTGACATGAGCATGCTGAGCTCTCAGCCCACTGTAGGGAGAGGGTGACTGTGTGTTCCTGCCGCCTGATGGCTTGGCTTCACCTGCTCACTGCTTTTTCCCTTACAGCTCAGGTTTAGATGACATCCCAAAGCACTAGAATGTACTGGTTCCATACTGGTTTATGCCTCGTTGTTTAGTGTAGCTTAGACTGCCTCCCAAACTGGTGCAACACAAGCCCATCTGAAACGTGAGTGAGTCTGTAGCTTACATTTGACCCGTCGAACTGTACTGCCGCAAAGTTAGGCATCAGACACTGAAATTAGAATTAATCTCCAAGACCTGTCAGACTTGTGTGGTTCTGCACAAGCCTCACTTGTGTCTATGCTTCCCAGCAATACAGCTGTTGATAAAAGGATGGTATCTTGTTTTTTGAGGCCCCTTGCCTTATCCAGAGCGGATGATGGACCATCTCCGGGGCTGAGCCATGCTTGGCACAGAGGATGCTGTCTGTAGGGCTCTGGTTGTGTTTGCTGCAAAGTTGTGGTACATGGGATGTGGAGCTGCAGGAGGGAGAAAAATCATCTCAGTTTTTGGCAGCCCTGGGTGTCTCTCTTGCCTGTGCTCAGTGAGGTCTTTGGCTGCAGGACTGTCACCTCTTGTTCCTCATTCTGCATGGGTCTCATAGTGATTTGGAGAAGTGCGACTGCGGTCAGTAAGTGTCGCAATTGGACAGAGTATGGTGCTCAGCTCCATGGTGCAAAGTACTCTGAAAAATGTTGAAAGGGCTGCAAACCCTCCGGCATATCTTAAAGTAGTCATTAATTAGGGAATTGGGATGATGGGTCTGTCTAGATGGCTATTGTAAGGGTTTTCCTTCTGAGATGGCTGGTGCAGGTCCCAGCCTCCGTGAGCAGGATGCTCCTATTCTTTTTTTCCCTGCTGATGCTGACCTGTAGCATAAACTGCTTTTTGGTCTCTTGTGTGGCCTGCCGGGCTCTCAGCATGTGCCTGTGTATGTTGTGGACTAAGAAGGAATTCCCTGCAACTTAAATCTTATCTCAGGCTTTCTCTGTGCCCAGCTGTGAGCTATCACAAGCCCATGTATCCCCAGGACAGACTCATTTTTATGGTCCCTCCCCATGAAAAATCCATCCTGCCGTGTGCCAGGAGGTCTTGCTGGGATGTGGCTTTGCTGCGGCTGCATCTGTGCTGCTGGGTGCTTCATGGTGGGAGTCACCTGCCAAAATCACTGTGAAGTTGTTTTAACTGCGTGGAGGCACCTGCAACCTTCCCATGGTGGATGGGGGAAAATAAGCACCAAAAGGTCTTGATCTCCTCCTGTGGCAAACGTCAGATGAGCTTCACCCGGAGGCACCTTTTCTCCCCTGTAGGCTTACAGGCAGCTCAGAGGAAGGTGTCCCCATGGCTGATGTCTCGCTTTGGGCAGATGAACCCTGCTGTTCGGGACAAACAGAGCCTCTTCCTTTGCTGCTGCTATAAAGGGGAAAAAATGTGCCATGGAGGCAAAGGGGAGCAGCTGGCTCCAAACCACCGGGCAGTTTGTCCCTGAGCGTGCTTGCAGATGCCCTGGCTGTGGAGCAGGGAGCGGTGGCAGGAGTAATGAGGCAGGAGTACTGAGGCAGGGGGCTGCCTGCACGAGGCTACCCACCAAAATCAAGGCTGGTGGGTCCCAGAGATGGGCTCTGCCAGCTGTCGTGTTTGGAAGGGGATGGGGGACCCAGACAAACTGTATCCAGCGTTGTGTTATTCCTGACGAGGGGTCTGACACAGGTGGGCACGGGTGGAAAAGGGACCAGTGGGCTCCCACGCTGTGCGGGCGCGGGCATCTGCTGCCTGGGCTGGCAGGGGGATGCTGCTGGATGTTTCTGCCCTCCAAGGAAACTCCTGAACCAGGTCGGGCCCTCCTCCTGGTGCAGGGGGAAAAAACAGGCTCTGGAGAGAAACAGTTTGTGTCCTTTTAAGGCAATGCAAAGGCTGGGACTGGAACGATCAAGCTGGAAGGGAGGGATTTGGCACGCAGGGCTGCACAGTGGTGGGAAGCCCAGCCTGCAGGGCGTGCAGAAAAGAGACTTCCTGGCTGCTGCGATCACACCCCAAACACAGCTTCTTGGATCCCTGGAGCCAGCACAGCCTCCCCTCCAGCCCCTGCTCCCGGCACCCTCTGCAGCTCCGTCTGTCTGTCCTGGGCTGAGACCACTCTGTCCATCCAAGAGCCGGTGGGGCGGGGGCGGGCCCGCCCCCCCGGCCCTGCCCTGCCAGCACGTCAGCTCTGACCCGCACCCTGCCTGCCCTGCCTGCTGTTATAATCAGGTTGAGATCAATTTCCCTTTTCTATTGCCTGACCAAATACTCTTACACAGGGAAGAGCTCGACTTTCCCGTATACTGGCAGGTACAGAGATCTCGCTGTGCCTGTGAGCAGAGGGTTTGCAGCGCTTCGTCCTCCCTCATCCCTCCGTATGATGTTTATACAGCCCCCAGTCCTGTTGTATTTAGCATCCATCTCCTCGACTGCCTGCCAGGCAGGGCAGTGCCGCTGGCTCGGCCGTTGGGTGGGGGATTGGAGACCCAGTGACGGGGCTTCAGCTGCCCACGGTGACCCCGGGATTTGGAGCTGCTGCAAGGAGTGGGCTCAAAGGCTGTTCCCCCGGTGTGCCCCGGCGGACCCAGATCCCCTTCCTCGTAGCCATGCAGCCGAGCCGAGGGAGGTGATGAGCTCCTGCACATGCTGTGGGGCGGCACACAGTATAGTATGAAAATGGTGTTTGGTTTTGGGGACCTTGTCCTGCTGCTTTAGCTGCTCAGGAGTCTGGAAGCATACGGCTGTGCCTGCAAAGGGGAGGGTGACTTTCTGCCGCCTGTTCCCATGTGGGACAGGATGGAGAATTACAGAAGTGTTTATGGAGAGAGGCCTCTGGAGACCTCCCAAGCTGCAGCTTGTGCCCATTGACCCTTCTTATATCACTGGGCACCACCAAAAAGTGTTTTGTTTTGTTGTCTTTGTAGCAATCCTAGGTTGCTGTTAGATCCTCCTTAGCCTCCTCTGGGCCACACTCAACCAGCCTGCCTCCCTCAGCACCTCCTTATAGGACTTTGTTGTTTGAATGTCTTGAGGTTTATGTTGGCCCCATCTTCAAAAGTATCAAGGCCCTCTGTGTTGGAGCTCTGCCACTTGTGTTAGCTGCTCACAGTATTTTGGGGTTATCTGAAAATTTCCAGATCAAGGGGCCTCTTGATCATGTCTCATCAGATACATTCAGGAAAGAGGAGAGAGAAATAGAAGCATTTATGTCCTGCCAAGGAGCTGCATGGTAGCTTAGGTTGGTGCTCAGGTGTTTGCCCTGCACCTGAGCCTGTGTCCCTGGGGCTGCTGATTTCCCAGCCTCCATGACTGTACCTGCAGTCCTGGATGAGACTGAGATGCCTGAATACAGGTGGAACCTGTGAGCACTTGGCCAGTCAAGGCACAGGCTAATGATGCTATGGGGGACACGGTGGCAGAGCCCGCTGTGTTTGGTGGTATCAAGGGTCAGCTCCCGCCCTTTGGGCAACCCTGACTATACCCCTGCCCTGCAGTGGCAGAAGTGGAAGAGATGTTCGGGGAGGAGAAGCTGGAACTGTTTCCAGCAGGGGTGACAACCCGTACACTCTCAGTCACCCTGGCCATTGATGCGTTGCCTTGTCAAGAGGTAATAGCGGGGTTGTGATCTAACGAGGTGCCGGCACTGTGGGTACCTCTGCGAGTGCTGCCTCCCGTCATTGGCCTGCTTCCTCCCTTTTCCTGGCACAGAAAGGGGCTGTGAGGTCCCACAGCTTCCAGGACAGGGGGATTGCTGCTGCTCCTGGCTGGCAGGACCAGTGGTCCCTAGGAGGCAGCTGATACTGCTGGGTGCTGTAACGATGGGTCCCGTGGGCATCCTGAGTTCTGCTAATTCTGCTAATTACCAGCCCTGTGAATCTGTGCAAACAGCAAACATCCGTGGGTGGTCTCCGCATGCGCGGATGTGGAAGGGCTGCTGGTGGGTGCCCGCTCCGGCTGCCTCGCTCCGCCCCATCCCTGCCTCCTGCCCGGCCAGCGCCCTGCCTGGCCTCCCGCCCTGACGCTGTTTCTGCCTGTGCTTTTTCTACAGTATGCCGAACTGGGGAGGAGGAAAGAAGTGTGGCGTGTGTCAGAAGGCGGTGTACTTCGCTGAGGAGGTGCAATGTGAAGGCAGCAGCTTCCACAAGTCCTGCTTCTTGTGCAGTGAGTGCTAGCCCTTCCCTCACCCCTCCCGCCCTGCTTCCTGGCCCTCCGCCGGCTGGGCGCCCCGTCATGTCCTGTTTATGGGCCGTGTAAACGCTCATTAGGATTCCTCTACAAACAGCCTGGCTGTGGGAGCCGTATGGCAGGCTTTCTGCTTTTCTCCAGACTTGGAAGTTAGTTCTGCTGAAGGAACACAGATCATCCCAGGACACCAGGGGCCATCCAAGCTGTCAGGGCTGACCTCAGCCAGCACCCACTCAAAGACTTAGTCTGTCCCTACACCAGGGAAAGGCTAGGCTGAGTCCTCTAGACTATCTCCAGATGTTCAAGATTGGAGCATAAGGCAGGGACTCTCCAAACAGTGGAGGCAGGAGGTGGTACATCCCATGCACTGCTCTGGGGTGATGCTAGCTTTAGTCTTCTAAGTGGCTTTGCCGCTTTGGGAACTGGCATGGGATCTGCCCCTGTTTCTCAGGAGATGATGGGAAGAAGATGTGGTCCTGTCCTGGCCCTTCTGCTGATGGAAGGCCTACTGTCAAGTGCTAAAGCGTCACCTCCAGCCTGCCTGGAAGTCTGCTATTGTGGAGGGTGTCTCTGTTGTATGTTTGGACCCAAGTGTCACCTCCAGGGAAGGGCAGCACAACAGGATCTGGCTGTGGATTAACTCAGTGTAGAGGTCCCTTCCTCTGCCTGCTCTGCAGGAACCTACAAATCCTCTTGGGTTCATGCTGCAGGAAGAAACCCTTCCTGTCCCTTTGGGGATACCAGGGCAGCGGTGCAGGGACAGGCAAGTAGTGTTACAGTGCTGAGAGCAGCTCCTTAAACCTGGGGCATCCACATCCAGGGGGGCTGCAGGACCTTTGAACAAAAAGATGACCACTGTCCTCAGCCTGTGTTTTACCAGATTTCTGTCCCCTCCCCTTGAAGACTGTCACATAACAGAACTGGTGATTCTCATGTGTTGACAGGAGCGTGCATGTTGCTTGTGTCCACTGATGGCTCATCAAGACACTACTCCTGCTGCTCTGTGACAGATGCAGAAGTGCATCTTCAGAGCTGTCCTTGCAGCAGGGTCCCACTGAGGTTTAACATTTTCTCAGCTGGTCCCTGTACCCTGTTCCCAGTGTCACCATCCCATTGCAGCAGGGAGCACAGATGTGATCTTTTCCATACAGGCAACAAGCAGAGCTAGGGTCTATAAACAGGCACACAGCTAGAACTAATCTCAGTAGACCTATTCCGGCTGGGAAATACCAGTGGCCTCATGGGGCCGATCCCTGTCGTGCTCCTGTGTCCACCTGGCACGGATACTGGATACTTCTTGGCCAGCCTGCCTGGGACGCGGCATGCACAGATGGATGCAGATGTGAGAGAGGGAGGCTGTTGCTGCGTCTCTGCTCCCTGTGCAGCGTGAAGAGTGGCCAGCGTGGGAGTTTCCAGGCTGGAAACCTTGCTTTGGCTTGAAAGGACTAGGAAGGGGAGTTGCAGAGAGGCTTTCCCCGGGCGGGCAGGGGGGTGGCAAGGCTGTGTTCTTATTGTGGCCGCTCTCTGCAGCAGGAAGTCGTGTTTCTTCTGCAGCCTCAGATAAGGAGGGTGGGGAATGTTACCCTCATCTCCCCCCCACCACTGGCTTTTACCATCTGAGTCCACGTCCATGAAGGACCTTAGTATGGAGACTAAGACCCCGTTGCACTGCATCTGCCCTTCCCCATGACCCCTGTGCACACAGCTGGATTGCTTAGCATTCTGCTGTGCAATGCTGGCACCCAGGGCGTGGGGCAGGCCTCCAGGAGCCATGAAATCAGGCAAAAGGCATTGCTTTGAGAAGGGAATACCTGGCCAAAGCGGGGAAGAAGGTCATCCCATGTCTGCTCATGGAAGCAAGTCACCAGGGAGTGGTCCAGAGCCGACTACAGCCAGGGCTCCCGTCCCTGTGCTTTGCAGACATACATAATCACACTCCACATGTACCCCAGCAGTTCTGCCCGTCCCGGCTGCGGGCTCCCCGGTTCAGGCCGTGGCTTGCATGCCAGCCCACAGTGCTGCCTGCTGTTCCCAGTCCTGTGCCACAGGCTGAGGGTGATGCTGAGCTGCACCGAACTCCTGCATTCCCAGCCTATTCCCCAGTGCTGCATTTGGGCCTCATCAGGGAACTTGAAGCCATTATCTTTAGGGGAGAAAAACAAATACTTTGACCTGATCTGCCAAAAAAATAATCAAAAAGGAGCCAAACCTACCACAGTGCATTAGAACTGGAGATCGGCTCAGGGAGCAACTTGGTGATTGACTCAGTGGCATCGATCCAACTGAGTCAATAGTACATAGCAGAAATGTACTATAATGAGGCCATTTGGCCTCTGAAAGTAGCAGCAGCTCTTGTCTAATTGTTTTGTGGAGCAACTCCGCTGCTCTTAGAAAAACAAAGGGTCCTTAACTCGATGAGTACAGCGCACTGGAATTTCTGCAATGCAGAAACCCGGGACCTGGGGGCTGATTTCTAGGAAGCAGACTGGGAAAGAATTTTTCTGCTGCCTCTCGAAGTGTCTGTGGCTCCTGCAGATGAGGGACTGTGAAAGCTTAGGTTAGAGCTCTAAATCCACCCAGCACTGTGGGAGAGAAAGACAGATGCCATTGAGATTGTTCACTCCCACCCCTAGGAAAAAGCTCTTTAAACCTGCCAGTAAAAGTGCTCAAATTCCCCTCTTGGGGGGTCTGTCTGAATGCAACGTTGCTCCTGATGAGCTCCAGGGTAATGCAGAGACAACCCCAACACCAGCCCATTAGCTTGGCAGCTACGGGACCAGTTTACCAGAGCTGGTCTTTCTCAACAGGGATGTGTGCTCCATCCCCAGCTCCTGCTGTGGTGGGACAGGGGAGCCCGTAGCCAGGAGAGGACCCTGCCAGATCCTCCTTAGATGGCAGGAGACGTTTCCCTTTCCACCTCCTTCTCCCAGCAGCAGCACACGGGGTTCTCCGTGGCCCCGGAGGAAAAGCACCATATTTAGTAATCGGGCTGAGGAAGGCTGCCTCTCGCCCCCACGTTTAGTGCCGCGGTTTGCGCTG